TTTACAAAGAACGGACTGCTGTTTTTATGTATTCCATGACTCTCTCAGATGTTGCAAAGATGCCTCATCATCGTTGCAGCTGCTTGTTATGTTTAATGTGTTATCTGGATGCTATGTGTTAACAATGCAGCAGCAGGAAGGTGTTTCACAGTCAGAAATAGGACGAGCTGTTTGAGACGGGATCTTTCAGCTTTCATTTGACTCCTACTGCATTGTTTATGACGGACTTAAACCTCTTACTTTTAGTCTAATTGAGCAGCTGATTATTGTAGAAACTGCACAATTACGAGTTCCTTTTTTTTGCTCTCTATATTTTTTTGTTCAGAACGTTTGTCTTAGTGTGTAGATGTACATAGACAGTTTAATCATCAGCTACTCTTTAAAGCCATGATCCATGTCAGATCCTGTGTTTGCTCTGATTCGTCAGTTTCAAGAACCCTATAAGACCCTATGAAAAAGGAACACTGCAAGAACTTCCAGAGAAGCAAAATGTTACCATTAGGGCTGCAACTAAAGATTATTTAAATTATTTATTAATTTCAAAAAAAAAATCTGAGTTATCTGAGTATCTGAGTTGATACCTTCAGTTACTTGCTTTGTCCGATAACGGCCTAAAACCTCCAAATATTCTATTTACAAAAATATGCTGTAGTTGTCTCTAGCCTTTTTTATCCAGTTCGGTCCGGTGTGAGAGGCAAGAGGACAAACGCCGTCACAGTCAGATGTTTAGTAGAAAAATATACAACCTTTATTCAAGATAAACAAGTCATTCAAGGTCTGAGTGGGCACCATGGGTCAGAGAACCCCTACACAAAGAATAGCTTCCACTCTTATAGTGGGACCTCAAAACCAAGAATTATTTCTCTGCACACACCCACTGGTCACACTAAAGCTCAGATTGAAAATGCACTGTTATCCATAAGTAGTCTCTCTCTGAACACCGAAGGGAGGTCACTCCCACCAGCTGGAGAGTGGACAACGGGCCAATAGCATAGCCTCTGAATAAGCCCGTAAATGACCACACACTGATATCTAAACCAGCACAAGAGAGTCAAGACATTGCACAAACGGTATACAATTATAATTTCTCACCAAAAGGATGTATCTGATCTCCTTGCAAAAGAGCACCTCCCCTATGTAGTTAGCTGTCTTCACTGACGGCAACATTAAAAGTTGCAAATAGCTCCCACTGCCGCTGCCACTGCCATGAAAAAAAGCAGCTTTTCATCTCACACAACCTTTCAGCATTTACATTTTTTAAATATTTTTTATTCATGCTTGTTTTCCCACCCAGTCAAATACACCTCTAAATTTCTTTAGTTATTCTCATATGCATTGTTGGCTGTGTCATGGAGGCAAAGTAAAATCTAAACATGATATAAACAAAACTAAAGTTGGACTTTGCATTGGCAGATGCTTAATATAATTGATAGATAGATAGATTAGGTGATAAAAACAATAAAAGAGGGTGTGGCCCTTCATTAATGCTTATTTTAACTAACGGTTTCATATCTTATGCTGCTCAGATCTCATACTTAGGTTGTCTCTGAAGGTCTGCAGGTTGTTGTTTTTTTACCATTAAGAGTCGAAGTGATTCAACATATTGTAGCCAACGGCAGGAGATTAAAAACAAACTTAAACTTTATTAAAATGTTCATATTCATACATGAAATTTGACCTCTACCCCATTGGTATGCATGCATAAGATGTATATGCATGTGAATTGTGGGTACTATATGCATGGGTGCAGTGCAAGTCCTGCTCTTTGACATGCATCGCAAGCACATGGCTATTCTAGTTCTATTGCACTTAATTATTCCAGTCGTCAGTTGTGTTTGTCCCCTCTGTTTAAGATGCATGTATCTATAGAAAATAACAAAAAAAGAAATAGCAAAAACAACATTATTGGCTGAGATATTTGTGACTTTCACTACACTGTCGCTTTGTAACCATGGAGAGCGCTGTTTGTTGGTCTGTAGGTGCAGTGCTGTCCGTGGTACTGAAACGGAGCGAAGGAGATAGACAGACAGAACACGGTGTCTCAGCCTGCTTCTTGCAGCGGTTGTAAATAGAACTTCAGCCCTAATTTCAAAAAACAGTCATAATATATATAAAAAAACAAAATGGAAACATTGCAGGCCAGCCGCAAAGCCCTGGAGACGCGAGACTCTGGTCGGTCACACACTTCGCGCAGCCCAAGCGACAATTCTGGGTGTATGTTAATATTTGATTTTGTTTATTGTTAATTCAGTTGATTCAATTTCTAAATATGTAAGAATGTGACTAAAAGCTTTTCTTAAGAAAAATATATGTGTCCAAGTGTCAGAGGAATCCCCTGTGAAAGGTTGTGCTCTTGCATGACTGGACACAAAAAACTCCACCCTGTGTTATTGATTTGGTGACCGCCACTGATATTAAGCAATAAGACAGAAATAGAAATGTGAGGCGGAGCTGCCCTTTTCTTTTAATTCACTCGGCCATTCATACATCTGTTCACGTCCCTACTTACTTTCTCAGTACCCATTACTATTAGGCCCTCGCATTTCGGGCAGCTCGACATCGTCTTAATGTGATTCAAAGACCTACATTCTAGACCAGAGTTGCCGTGGCAACAAAGCCCCCACCCCTACCCCGAGATGCTGAAAGATCAATAGAGTATCCTCGACGGTGTGGCAGGAAATGCTCTGGTACAGATCGTCCTCTGAGAAACCATGAGCTTTGTGGCCTAGTTACCGTCGGAAAACTAACACAATCGAGCAAGATCAGTATTATATTGGAATTATATAAACTTGGGCAACAATATAAAGATTAAATCTGAACTAAAGATTATAACACTGTTGAAATGATGTCACCCATCTATAGCTTTTAAATAGGAGTCTATTTTAACAGGAAGTATGATCTGCCATGCTGCAGCCTACTTTATTGTTTTAGCTTTCCCAGCATTAAAAAGAAAGGATATTTGGGGAATTAATTTAGACAAGGCAGGCGCACTGTGCTGCCAACTATAAAGGAGCATCGCTAAATAAATAAATTCTCTCAGGGGGGGGTTTGAATTGTTATCTTGTTTGTATATTCTTTGTTGAATAAATTGCACAGGAGAAAAGTTTTTTTTTTTCAATTTCAAACAGTTAAGGTGGATGTCTTTGAGAGATGGAGTGATAGCTACGCCTGTAGATTCATAACAAAATAAGAAGAGACGTGTAAACACAAACCAAGTAAAGGTTTGGGTCCAATTTCTTTCCTAAATACAGTATAACATAGAAGAAATACAACAGTTGGTGTTTTGCTTCGAGAAACCCACTGTTTTGAACCTGTGCTTCAAGCTGTCCTACTTCCCCCGGAAAAGGACACCTTTTAATGAGAGCTCTGATTGGACAGCCGTATTTCAGAGTTAATGAGAGGCCCTGTTGTCTGTCAGACAGAAGCCAGACAGCAGTGTGAGTGTCTGTGCAAGAGAGAGCGAAAAGGAAAAACATTTAGGAATTTTCATTGCTGGCTGGCATAAATGCAAGGCAGGTTGATGTAAAACTAAATGCATTTGTAATTATTCACTTCTCTCACTATCTTGAACCTGCATAACAACTCTCATCAGAGAGTTTATTTAGTTTAAGACACAAGTGACAACAGAGTGTGCAAAGATTATGAATAAAGCAGAGCTTGAGAGATGGAGGAAGAGAGCTTGGCTTGTGCTTCATTTCTGCTATGAAATTTGACAAGTGACATTTAAAATATTCCATGGATGTCACCGCCAGCGTTTTTATATCAATTTCAATTTAGGGTTATCGGTACTGTGAGCATGAGATGCTTTTGCTTTGTGCACAATGGGACAAAATCAGTGGTGTTAAGGACGTCAGCGCCACCTCACCATGGTGGGATGGAGATAAAGAGTCTCTAAAATTAGTCATGACAAATTTGATGAAGCATCAAAAAAGGTTGAAAACAGACATTTGTGTTTAAGATCCTCAGCCAGCTTCTCCCGAGTGAATTAAAAGATTTATGCTGGCCCCCTTAAACAAATGAAGGGGGGGTGGATCAAACGTGTCACCCTGTGGGGTTGGGTGGGGTGTTGGGCCGTAGCAAACCAAAATGTAATTCTCTAAACCTAGAAAAGAAGTCAGTTGTCATCCTGTTATTTTATCAGCATTAACAGGCTCTCTCATCATCTGTGAAGCTTAAAGCGTTAACAAGCAAGATGGATGCCAAAGAGGGTACAACCACTGACATCATGTGGCATCAGCACATTACCGTTTGTGTTCCGCTGGGGTCTGTTATGGTTATCACAGCCAAGGATCACTTTTTACTCCCGTCACCACAGGCGTGTTCTCTCCAAGACTGAAATCGATACCTCTAAAAGGGAATCAGAGAATCAAAACGTCTTCAAGGCCTCCATCAGACGGACTCGAAAACAAGCTGTATTTCCATCGTATTCACCTTTACTTTTTGTTGTCGTGATTTACATGACAGGTTTCTGTCCAATTTTGCAGTGCATTTCAGTAGCATAGGGAGAGCAGAGACCATGAAAAGGTCATGAAAATCCTTGAGCGCTGCTGACAAGCGCCCTCTTCTACCCTTAATTCTCCCTCCTGATGTGGAATTCTGAGCAGAAAAGGACAAACAAGCCTTGTTGTATGATGGAAATGCACACAGCATATAGTTACCCAATACAGGGAAATTGATGGCTGGTGGTGAGACAGCCTAGTGATGCAGCCTGGTGGCACAAAAAAACATTCTGTTATTTCCATTATAAGGCTACAGAGACATGTGCTTCTGACAGCGTTGGTGCAGCCTTTCATCATCCCATCCCAGGTGCCATTATTTCAGAAAAGCTCCATTCCATTTTGTGATTGATACCTTGCTGGCAGTGTCTGCAATCTTGGTCACACTCTTGATTTTTTTTGCAGCAGGCTCTCATAAAGGCTATGCTGCTATTTATTAATTGAAAGATCTCTATTTTGTGACTCAATCTCTGTCCTATTTTTCTTTGTCTGTCTCACACAAAGGACCTGGAAACTGATCAACGATGGACCGTCTGGTTCTTTGCGTGCTGCTGAGTGCAGTTCTGGTGAAGGGATACAGCTGCCCCGGCCGCTGCATCTGTCAGCACCTCTCCCCCACTCTGACTTTGCTCTGTGCTAAGACGGGTCTGTTGTTTGTACCACCCGGCATCGACCGCAAGACCGTAGAGCTGCGACTCACAGACAACTTCATCACCATCATCCGCAGGAAAGACTTTTTCAACATGACTAGTTTGGTCCACCTCACCTTGTCCCGAAACACCATCAGCCAGATCACGCCGCTGTCCTTTGTCGGCCTGCGATCCCTGCGGGCTCTCCACATGGATGGAAACCGCCTCAGTGTGATAAAGACTGACCACTTTAAAGGCCTCATCAACCTGCGGCACCTCATCCTCGGAAACAATCAGATCCACCAGGTGGCCCCCACCGCCTTTGATGAGTTTGTTTCAACTATAGAGGACTTGGATATTTCCAGTAACAACCTGCGCGGCCTCCCCTGGGAAGCCATAGCCAGAATGACTAACATTAACACGCTCACACTGGACCACAACCTGATTGACCACATTGAAGCGGGGACTTTCACGTTGCTCACCAAACTGGTCCGCCTGGACATGACCTCTAACAGGCTGCAGAAACTGCCGCCAGACAGCCTATTCCAGCAAGCAGAGGTCCTATCTGACATCAAGGATTTCAGCTCCTCCACACTGGCAGTGAGCTTTGGTGGAAACCCTCTTCACTGTAACTGTGAGCTGCTGTGGCTGCGCAGGCTGACAAGGGAGGATGATCTGGAGACCTGTGCCTCGCCAGACCACCTCATGGATAAGTATTTCTGGTCCATCCAAGAGGAGGAGTTTATCTGTGAGCCTCCGCTGATCACCAAGCATCTTTCTACTAAGCCCTACGTGATGGAAGGGCAGGGTGTGACTCTTAAATGCAAAGCAGTGGGTGATCCGGATCCAGATATTCACTGGCGGTCACCAGATGGCAAGCTGGTGCATAATAACTCCCGCACCATTCTGTATGATAATGGGACCCTTGATATTCTCATCACCACGCTGAAGGACAGCGGCGCATTTAATTGTGTGGCGTCCAATGCCGCAGGCATCACCACAGCTGCTGTTGAGATCAACATGATCCCCTTACCCTTGTTTGTTAACAACACAGGCCACATGCGGGAGGACCCCGGCCTCTCAGACATCACCACCTCCTCCAAATCTGGCAACGACACCAAGGGCTACGACAAGCTGGACAGGAGGGTGATGGTCACCGAGCTGACCTCCTCCTCCGCTGTGATCCGTTGGCCTTCTGAGCGCCACATCCCCGGCATCAGGATGTACCAGATTCAGTACAACAGCACGGCAGATGATACTTTGGTGTACAGGTAAGCCATGGTGGAGGGGGTGGATGGATGGAGAGAGGGGAGGGTGGTAGAGCAGGGACATGAGGAAAGGTGAGACATCTGGAGTTACCATCTGCTAAATGACACAACGGTTCATTATGGCAGATTGACAGATCCCAAAGATGCAAACTGATTAAGCATGTCCAGAAATAAGTAAAACCCCTATAGTGTTGTCTGGGGGATGAATGGAGAAGGAACATTTTCCCATAAATTAGAATGCATGCAAATGCATTGAAATAATAATATGCATAAAATGTACAGTTACTTAAGATATTTACAGATCCAGGAAACTATTTTCAGTCTCTGATGTTTGAGTAGCTTGTTGCAATCAGCTGAAGAGATTGTGGAGTCCAGCAGTCTAAGGACTAAAGGACCCTGTCAGCATCATTAAAATGTAATATGACAATAAACAACAACATGATATCCAACTATTTCACTGCATATAACTGTTTGTATCATTAGCAAGTGCCTGCATTAATTGGTTTAAACACAGAGTGTGGTTAGATGTGGTTGTGTAATGATAGGCTTGATTGCAGCCGTGGAAGAAGTATTTAGATCATTTACTTAATATAGATTAAGTTGCAATACTACACTGTAAAAAAAGAATTAATCACAAGTAAAAGTCCTGCATTCAAAATTCTAAAATGTATTTAAAGTATTCAAAGTACAAGTACTTGGTCTGCAAAATACATAAAAAAATTGTACTGAAGCACAGTACTTGAGTCACTGCAACCAATAGAATCAAGTTAAGTTGCAATGTGTAATATATAAAGTGCACATATAGAACAATGGCAAAATCAATAAGCCTGAGCTACACTCTTTTTAAATAGCGAGTGTAAGCATTTGCAAACCTTCTTAAAATAGTCTTAAATATGATTATAAGTCTGATGTGTTTATTATGCAATATGTAATGCACATGAGCTGAACCTGGTATACAGAGAGTACTTTAGGATTTATGTATTCATAGAGCGAGTTAATAATAGCCATCGACTTTCTTTTCTTGTTTTTTCTCTTTTTTTTTTTTAGGTTTTATCAGATATAATGAGTCGCTCTCCTGTATAATTTTCTCATCCAGTTTAGGCATGGAGCTGAGTGTTGTTTTGTCTTTGGGAGGTACATTATTACCTACAAATGATAACCATCAAAGTCCCCTTTAGGGAAAAGGAACACGCTTCTAATTATATTCACACCAATATTGACCTGAAGACAATGCTTTTCTCCATCGTATTTAGAGTCGTGTAATCTTGCCGTTGCTGACAAAATGTGACCTTAGGTACTCACACATCATAACTGCCTTCACATCATGTGTCACTTGTCCTGCAATCTGCAGCTGGTATATTTTTTAGGCAACAAGCCTCCTCTGCCTTGTTTATCACCTTGCTGTTTACCCTTGCTGTCATTTCATACACAAACCCAATAGAGCAACTTCTCACTATTTTATGATATAACATATTCTCCAATAAGTCAACTGTAACAAAGTGTTGTGCATTTCATCTTGGTCTACCAGAATGAGTGATATTCAATGCTGGAGCTGTGATGGCCCTGTTGTCTTTTTGCTGTGTGGAGCTGACACCTTATGTGTGATTTAATACACCTTATGCAAATCAGTAAATGTGGGCGTTGTAATTCCAATGATTAAGTATCTACATCTTCACCACTGCACTATATTTCTCTTCTCTACAGAATGATCCCATCTACCAGCAAGAACTTCTTAATCAATGATCTGGCCGCAGGACGAGAGTATGACCTTTGCGTGCTGGCGGTTTACGACGACGGCATCACATCATTAACGGCCACACGTGTGGTTGGCTGTGTGCAGTTCCACACGGCCAGTGAGATCAGCCAGTGCCGCTTCATGCACAGCCAGTTTCTGGGAGGCACTATGATCATCATTATTGGTGGTATAATTGTTGCTTCCGTGCTGGTGTTCATTATCATCCTGATGATCCGTTACAAGGCCTACAGCGGCCCAGAAGACAGCAAGAACAAGGTCAGCTCCAGCATGCACTCGCAGACCAATGGCAGCCAGCAGCGTCTTCAGCGCTCCACCTCCAAGCAACCGTCTGATGAGGGCCAGCGTGAAGCTCACGCGCCCAAAGAGTGCATGGCGCTGGTGCTGAGGGTGAACAATGACAAGAAAGAGAATCCAGCAGCCACCACTGCCATCTTGGAGGTGGAGCTGCCGCCCATGACTGTAGACAGGATGAATAGAAGAACCAGCCTGGATGCACAGTGCTCTGGCCCCCCATCTGAGGACACACAGACGGACAGTAGCCTGACGGGCTCCACCATGTCCCTGTGTCTCATAGGCCCCAACGCTGGCACCAAGGAGGCTCCCAGGCTCAAGGACAAGAAAAGTGCTCTGGCCAACATGGGATTGCTCCCTAATGAGCTGGCACGAACTAGGCACAGATTCTCTTTTGACGGAGGGGATTACTCCATTTTTCAGAGTCATAGTTACCCACGCAGAGCGAGGACGAGGTGGCACAAGTCCACCAACCAGCTCGACATGGAGTCCTCGCCGCTTGCCAACAGGAGAGTTACGTTCAGCAGCACTGAGTGGATGCTTGAGAGCACAGTCTGAGGAAAGCGATGTAGCCGGGGAAAAACAAAAAAACGGCTCTGCAACACACAGACACACACATGTTCAAACACAAGTATCTCTACATGCCATATAACACACACATTGTTGCTGCACACAGCAAATGACGAACACAAGCACATGTACTTACACATGCAAACTTTCTGTGAGTTGCTGGAGAAGATCACAGTCTCAGTCTTTGTCCTGCCTCCCTCATCATACTCCCAGAGAGGTTTGTTGGCCATGTCGTTTCTTCATGCAGCAGTGCCTTACTCTGAAAAATGTACGAATGGAGGATGCTGCTCACTGTAGTCATGAACCGTCCCATCATTGCCTCCCACCCTGATGATGGGAGGCATTTCTTTGGATTTTAATTTTCTCATTTTTTTCTGTGACATGCCAAGGAGAGTGTGGCGTTTGGATGTGACTGTTTAATTGTTAAAAAAAAAAAAAAAAAAAAAAAAAAAAAAAAAACTTCCATCATAACTGTAAAGTGAACAGCCAGGTATCCTGTTATGTCAATCATGTTTTGGGTTCTTTCAACAACAACAAAAAAAGACTTTTGCACAGAAGACACGAAATACAAGGACAGGTAACACCACCAGTCTATACAATAATAATAATTAAAAAGAAGAACAGGATTTTACACATGCCGATTTCTAATGTTAGCATAGAGAGGATGGACCTGGAAACCAACCGTTGATTCCTCTATGACGGTCGGACTGTATGATGTTAAATAGGTATTGTTCCAGATGTGGCTGTATATTAATCAGTACTGTATCTGGCTGGCCTAGATAAAAAGACAACAAACAAAAAAGACATATATAAATATATTAAAACATTGGTGTATCTGTACTAACTATGTAAGTAAGTAAGTCATGTCACATGACTTTTTACAAAGCATTTGGGTGTTGGCTGCAAGTTTTTACATTAAAAACCTGTGTCATGACACCGCTCCCTATTTAGTATGTCAAAGTTTGGACCATTTATCCCCTCACGAAGGGTATTAAATTTTTTGTGTGGGTTAATTGTATCAGGTTGTTCTTTTTGCTTCAGGAGCAGCAGTGTGTGTCCGCTGCAGGGCGGGACACACAAATCGAGATGATAAATATTTGATTCCAGAGTACTATTTATAAGGCCTCTGTGAAAGCTGCACAACGACCACGGAAGCAGAGTGGGGTGTGGGACGACGAGGGATAACCGAACGTGATGCTGAATTCAAATGCAGCCAGTTGGTATTAACAAGGGTGTAAGATCACTCGCATCCCACTAGGGGGAGACGAGGCTCTGTAAAGTTCCCAATACCTTGCAGTATGCAGGGAAGACGATATAATAATCGTTATTAGCAGAAAGCCTGAGTAGCATCCTGCTAGTACATTCAGTTTTCTCTTATTCTGGATAAAGCTTAGATCTTGAAAAGGAAGTAACACTTCACTTAAACCCCACCTATTTATCACATATAAGCAGTACTGTATGTACACAGTAAACTAATGGCTTTATTATTATGATGTAGTGCAAGCAGAGATAAGGAAATCTTTATTAATGCGTTTGTCTATATCTAGAACTCCTTTTGTGAAGCATCTGTAACTGGTTTATGAACAGACAATGGATGATTAATAGTACACCGCTGTAATCACATTAAATGATAAGCGATAACACACATGCACAAATACTCACAGTGTATTACAAAAATGTATGGTAATGACAAAACAATCACTTACCAGCAGGATTAAAACAGTTTATGAATATGTTGTATGAAAACTCTCGAAGACATTTTGAGCTTTCAACTGCATCTCATGGCCTTCACTGTTTGTCCAGTTGTCATGGAGAGTGAAGAAGGCATGTTTATGAATAGCTAAATAAGCCATTGAAAAAATATTTACGAATATTTGAGGACATTTTTGTCTGATTAAAACTGTTATTGTGAATCAATCATTGTTTATAAGCCAGTTACAAATGCGTCATAAAAGGAGTCGTAGACAAATCGACTCATAAACACTTTCAAGTGTACTTATATCTGCTTACAGCTAAATCATCATGTGTTGTAAACCACTTATAATTGTTTATATTGCATATAATACAGGGGGTGAAATAAGGCGTTACAGAAAAAGGCCTGCCAGTGGGAAAAGATAAGATCACAGTGCATGAGGGATATTTGTTTGCTGCCACCCTCTCCCCCTGATTACAGCTCCTTAGCACAGGCTGAGATGAAACTGAGCTGCGTGGACAAGCAAAGAGATAAAATATGGAGCAGAGAGATAAGCCACACTGGAGGTTTTCAATCCTCTCGAATCTCCTATTTGCATCCTCAGTGACGGAGACGATGGAGTCTAAGAACGTTGTGATCCCATCCTTTTCCGTCTTCGTTCTTAACACATTTTCTGTCAAAAAACATTCACATTTTTAGCCTGAAATCTTGTTTTTGCGCTAGAAGAAGACTTAAATTTAGGGTTTAAATGCTCAGCTGTCAATTTGTGGTGCTGACATTGTTTCAACCCCTGTCCGTCTCCTCCATAACTACTGATGGTTTCCATTGTGGAAATGTGCTGCTGACCATTTCTCACAACAGGAGAAGTGTTCCACACAAAACCTGCTTAGGCAGGAGGAGGCTGAGACTTCACCCAGTCTTCAAAATTGGCCATGGCAGCTAAACTAGTGAACACTCGGGGTACGGCAAAGCGTGTAATGTCTCCTCAGCAGTTGTGCCTCGACTCCGTGAGAGTTTTTCATATATAATTCATGGTAATGAGTGTTTGAAACGTCCAATCTCAACATGGTTTGTAGGTTTTAGCATATAAAGTCCTCTGTGCTTACCATGCTGGATAACTTCATACCATATACCATATTCTAACTGTGCTGAAATGTTATCGTTTTTTTTCTTCATCATTCATTGTCATTGACTCCAATCTGCAATGTTTCGATTCCAATTGGATCCTTTTCTTGTTGGTTTCCCGGTAGCCTTGAACCTTTGCATAACTACACTCGTTCTTAACTTCACATTTCAAATAATTGACGTACCATTTCTATCTAAAAACCCGGACACTTTACTCACAGTTTCTGTGGAGAGGCATTTGTATCAATTCAAAGATTCATTTTGTGTTAACAGCCGTTTTCTAAACTTGCTACCATCTCCACCATTTGAGGAGAATTTCAGTTATAGACATTGATAAAAAGTCGCGCTGAATAGCGAGGAATGGGTTTTTTTGGGGAGCAACACATATTTCATTATTTATTATGTAGAATGTATTTATTTGCATTTATTTCTAAAGAAGAAGTCTACAGCCATACTAACGGTTCTATGATGCTGCACTGCTTTGAGCAATATACTAACATCAACCTGCCAACATGCTCACAATTAGGGATTTTCCATACTGGAGGACCATGCCATGAACTGCACAGCACAGCAAGGTAGAGATGTCTGACCTTGCTGCTGCTAGTCACAGTAAGAGCCTGTCGCCTGCAGCCATTTTTAGCTCACTAGCTGTTTGTACTGCTCCTCTCTGCAATATGTTAAACTGATCTGCTGACCAAATAGTGCAGAATCCCGATAAAAGCATCCCGCGGGTTCGCCAGAGGAATGCTTTTAGTGTGAAGCAGCAACAGCAGGAAAGATTTGATTTGCATCAGCAGTAAGTTGACACAGCTAATATAGGTCTGAAAGTGGTCAGTAAACAGTAGTATATCTGAAAGGACAAACAGGAACGCAGGAGTTAAACCACAAGGATTCAGATAGAAGCCACAATACCACTGAGAGCTGAACACATAGATACTTTCAAAACAGAGCTGTCTGTCTAGTCTCCAGCACAGGACACAATGTAGCTGTTGAGGACACAGCCAGGGGGGTCGGGGGGGGGGGGCACAGATGTTAAGCAGGTAATGTGTACCATGTTAACCATCATCGCTTAGCGTGTCAGCATGCTAACATTTACTAATTAGCACTTGAGTCAGAGGATCCCCAAAGTTATTACAATTCATCCTGAGAGCGACATGAATGTCTTTAGAAATGTTCATGACAATCCATCAGATAGTCACTGAGACAGGATACATCCTCAGGGAACCACAAATGCCAGTACAGATTGTTGTGCCAATCCATCCAGGGGAGGCGCATCTACGGCCCCAGGGTCTTATGTTTCATGGGAACCTCCAGATCATCTTAATACGACACCTCAAGGAGAACTGTCAAAGATTGTATATTCTCCAAAATGTTTATTTTTTGTCCTTCGGTTAAATGTTCAATGTATTTTTCCCTGGGACATATTGTTGGAATCACCCACCTACAGCTCATAGCCTACTGATGTTATACTCCTTAAATAAACCCTCATATTTGCAGTCAAGACAGTTTTCTTGATTTTGGCATCTAGATCTCCCCAGGGGATGATTTTTCGAATCAAACTGCGTTTGAAACGTTTGTCCTTTTGCAATTTGAACTGCAAAGATAGCTTCTACCGATCTCTTACAAACTGCCGCAAACTGTGGAAACGACACCCTTACTTCTGCCAAGTAAATTATTTGTGAAGACCTGCGGTAACAGACATTAGAAACGTAAGGTTTTGTACATCTACATCTACAAATGTTTATCATTATTTGTAACGTAGCAAGAACATAAATGCTTTTTATTGGTAGGAGTTTTCTAGGTAATTATTTTATGAATAAGTAAATACATGCAGCTATAAAACACGCTCAATTTAGGTGGTTGCCCTCTTGCCAAATGCTTATTAACCTTACAATGTGTTTTAAAAACCTCCGTTAACACTGATTTGACCAGCTGAATTTCATTTAGCTTTTTTTTTCCATTTCCAAGATTTGGGCAGTTGCAGCCAAGCTCAACCCAGCCCCCACACTGCTGCTTAGAGAGAACACTTAGCCTATTGACGCAGACTCAGTAAAGTGCTTCAGGCTCCTCCAGTTCGCACACTTTTACCAACACTTCCTTCAGCATCAGATTATCTAAAAACACCCAGAAGGCACAGGCCTACTACTTGTTAACAGGTTTTTTTTTAATACAGATTTAATCTGACAAATACTGTGGTAGGAAGAAACTGACCAGCGGCATATGGACGTGATGTTAATATGGTATGAATAGTGTTGTTTATGAGTGTCGTTACATTTTTGTGTTGAGTTATTGAATATTTTTCTCAGGCATTACATTCACCCACAGTACTACCTTACCTAAGCAATAAGGCCTTACTGCTCTTCAACATGGAGCGAAGAATCCCTAAATGAATCCATTTTGTTTGTGAATAGCATTCTATTAAGGTACACATCTCCTGCATCATAAACAGACTGGTACAGGACTGCGGTCTTTGATCCTCTGGAGAGAGGAAGCCGCCCTCTGTGTATTTCTTTACAAACAGCCCGACGGATCAAAATAAATCACAAGACCTTAAATCGAAAGATTTCATTTTTCTTATGCCGGATGTTATTTCAAAGCATTGTGTGACTTATGAACTCACTTATCTACATTTAAACTTCCATCTTATTACATTTCTGTGTTTGGCTTTGAACAAATGTTATCTTGACAGATGGGCGGAAACTGTGTTATTACATTTATACGACATGTTTAGGAATCTAGATGAAAATGTCAAATCCCTGAAACATACTTCCACATAAATCACAATACCTGTTAAAACAAAAAGCTGGAAATATTCTATATTTGTGCTTATATTTTATTCTCAACAAAGTGGTCTATTGCACCAGTTTATATAGCACTCAGTCATTTATGAAAAAACTTAATGAAAATTAAGATTATGAAAAGAATGAGACCCTCCCTGGGCTTATTAATGTTTTCTTTGATCTGAAGAAAAAAATCCCCACCAATATTTGTTGTGCAGTACCAAAGCAAATGAAGCATTGGCTACTCAGAAAATACTTGTTAGTCAGATAAAGTCATTATTGGTTTTGTTGACAAAGAAAATCACCAGACATATAGTTTTAAAAAATGATATTCCGACATTTTATTAAAAACAGCAAAATAGATGTTTATTTTTTAACTATGACAATTTCCTGCATGCACATTTCCACAAATAAAAATGCATAAAAGCAAATGCACATTCTTCCATAATTGGTGAGGAGAGCGTCTTAATTTGTCTGGTTTCTTAAATAAAATGTGCAATAAAAAAAAAAACCGGTGGTCAATTCAGGACAGACGGTCCCCCGCATGAGGCAGACAGTTTGAGGAGAGAGTCTATGATCAATCAATGATCCTGCAGCTGACAGAATCCGTGATGAGGCAGGTGGTGTCTCTTCATGCTGCATGCACCGCCGTACAGTGTGCTTCAAGCTGCTGCGGAGGTGGATGAGGCATCACTACACAGAGAAGGCTGACAGCACAGGTTTGTTGATGTCTACCAAAGGACAATACAGAACGGCCCTGCGGAGAAAAGCCCTTTGTGAAGTGACGAACAAAGGAATCTGCAGTGGTTAGCTGAGCCGTGTGTCTGTCCATGTCTTTCAGTCTCCAGAACTATCACCCAAGCTCTCCTCACCTGCTGCTTTCCAGCTTTTATTGTCTTCTTTTTTTTTTAGTTTGAGTCTTTATGGGAGTCCTGCTTTCGCTTTTTGCGCCTGTGAGTCCTTCTCTCCCTTTCTTCTTCGCCATCACTGTCGCCCGAGCTGCCGTCGTCGTCTCTCCCTCTGTTTCTTTCTGTTTTCTTGTTTTTATGTCGACTTTTGGTCTTTTTCCTCTGCTGCTTGTCTTTAGTAGCACTGCTGTCATCGCTGCTGCTGTCGCTGCTTGAGCACTCCTCTTTCTTACGCTTCTCCTCCTCCTCTTTCTTCTTTTTCTTTTTCTTCTTTCGAGAGGATTTTTTTGATCGTTTTGATAGGCTTGCTTCCATGTCAGACTTGGACTTTTTCATTTTGTGGCGCCCGACCTTTCTTGTGGACCTGCTTTTTTCACTAAAAAAAAGATAAATGAAAGAAAATAAATTTAGGACAGGTATAGTAGGTATGCCATAAGTCTTTATAGGGGCAATCCACCAATTTTACACATCAATATTAGTTTATATGTCACAACTCGGCTATTGAAAACTGTTGTATAATCTCTTCGGGAGGAGCTTTCTCAAGTATGAAAAAATGAACCCTTCACGATGTCATCAGGGTTATCTCACCTTTGGCTTGAAGACCGGAATGTTTTAACACACAGCTTGGTTTCAACAAAACGATTTTCAAGTCAACGACCTGCGATGGTTCATGTCATCAAAATAATTTTGATTACAGCGCTGGTTGTGTGAGGACTAAAACAGTGTGTTGATAACATTACACTGCATCCATTAAATCTAAGTTTAATTACATAAAACGACTGTCACAAGGTGATATGAGTCAATGAAAATAATTTATGTTGTATCTCACATGAGCCCCAACTTTATGGAAGTACAGTGCCATATCTCTTACTTATTTGATGCCGTGTTGCATGTTTGCTTACCTGTCGCTTTCAAACTCCTCGGGATAAAGCTCCTTGAAGCCACTATGTCCCCACCTGTGACGTCAACACATCATATGAAGATTTGTCAACCATGTTTAACTCCCTTATATTTACACTGTAGTGTGGAAAAATTAACAAAGTTTAAATTACAAATAAGAAAACCAATTCACTTTCTTCCTTTTCACCTTACAAAAATAAGCCATTCTGAGATTTTCACCAAACTTAAACATACTTATATGAAGGCTTCTTTATATGCTGTACCTGTCGGGATCACTGGCCTTAAATTCATACAGTTTGCGACTCCAATACCGGGCATCTCGGTCATCATGTTCTGAGACTCGCTCTCTGCTTCGACTCAGGTCTCTAGGCTGATCCGACACTCGATCACAGTGCATTTGCCCCCTGGAAAACAACCACAATCAAATTGCAACATACAGTAACATCTCTCTAAACTGAGAGTTACATCATGAAACACACTCCCAAAGTAGCTTTGGTGTCACTTGGGTTACGGTGGCTCAAATTAAATAGGGACATTTACTGTTCTCACCTCGCATTCTTTGTATCTGGCAAATGTTTGTGGACCTCCCAGCCTCGCATTTTCCACATCTCTGTCTCCTCCTGGATCTGCAGTGGGTCAACAAGAGTAAGTACATTGCAGACTGCCCAGCCACACATACCGTACTAACTTTCATACACTCGCATTGGGAATGCTGTTTTTGGACACCCAACAGGCATACAGTATTAAAATGCTTGCAGAGGTTATATATGCCTATATTTTTTTATTTTTTCCAGCTTCACATTAATACCAAACTTTACCTATTTCCAGCCTCTGAAATGTGACGATGTGCTGCATGTTTTTGTCTTACACAAGCAATCTGAGGACCGTCACTTTGGGCTTAAGGAGATTTTATAAAACAAACAATTGATCCATTGACTCGTGAATGAAAATAATAGTTCCAGCTCTAAAACAGATTTTAAGTGTTGATCAGATTTAAACACCTTCAAAGTGAAGGTTATACTTGGGGAGGTATTCCTGCATTCTCAGTCCAGTCCATTGACTGTCTATAAGAAGTCTATAGTCTACCGTTGCCAGTTAATTTAGATACTTCTAAATTAACTAATTTGATAGTCATATCAATCAATAAGCATCAGTATAACGCAACACAATTCAACGCTATACCGAACTACTGCCCCCAAATTGTTTATTAAAACGAATCAACAAATCTCCGAAACTATTTCAACCCAAACAAACAGAGGACTTCTTTTCCAGGCTGTTGTATTACGCTACATTAGTTTTAGCTGGCTGTCCCGAATAAACTATGTATGTTTCCGACTTGTGGGACACACACGTGAACTCAAACGCACCTTATTGTGAGCATCTGTGTGTCGGATCACATTCCTCAGCAACGTCTTCCCCAACGGCTGCTTCGACATGATCACACCTGACACGAGACAAACGTAAGCCATCTTTGGTTAATTAACCTAAAAGATAAGCGATTAGTGTGAACAGGTTAATCTTCCTAATATATGAATGCTGTCTCTACGCTACATGAACGTCACCTGTTAGCCTAGCTCGCTAGCTAACACGGCTGGTTGTTCAGATACAGTAATAACTAATGAATCTGTTCAAAATCTGCGTAAACGACGACTAACACACTTTCACCGTCATTTCACAAAGATGTACAAACTGTACCTTTCCAAAACGAGTCGCATTCGGGAAGAACACACTCTTGTTTACAGCATGGATTTATAAAGAAGTTTACAGCCTCTACCCGGTACTTCCGCCTTACTGACATACGTCACGTTGTCGCACACTCTACGTCACTGGACGTTGGAAATACTGAACTGTTATTGGTCCAATTGTCCGTCAATCATGTGAACCGGTCCAGCTCGTGGACGTTCAACAACATGCACATTTAGCAATACATGGACATTGTTTTTTGAAATATGAATCTTTAAAACGATAAACAACTCTTAATGACACATTATTTTCACCATTGGATTCAAGAAAAAAAAACTACATTTTGAATATTGAATAGGCTGCAAAAAAAATAGGCCATTAAATGGCTCAATGTAATATGAAAGGGGGTAGTGCTGATGGTCCCACTGAGAGTCAACACTCCAGTATGCAGCTGCTCAGCTATAGATATTTACGTAACGTCACCAAACAAAGCAATGCAATGAAGGAGTGACTGATAAAGAAAGTCAAATATCAAGCAAGCAAAAAAGATAGTTGACAGATATTTTCCTTTTCTTTCTGTTGGCAGATGAAGTGTTGTCAAGGAAGAACAAGAGAGGGAAGACCACGCTCATACCTGCCAGATGTGTAAGTATACACAACTGTGTCTTTGAATTCTACACTCATTATGCAGGGGGAGATAATATTTGAATGAAAATAAACAATAAGAACCAATTTACAATTAGTTTCAAGGCTGTCTATATTTATTTCTCAGTTTTATGCCATTTTAAATGAAATATCGTCGGATTTTCATATTTTCATGTCAGTCGGATAAAATAATGAATTTGCAATAAGGATGTCGCATTGAGCTCTGGGAAATTGTGTTTGGCACTTTCTCATTAGTTTCTTACATTTCATGGAATAAATCTATTAATTGAATAATTTATAGATGTGCCAATATTGAAAGTAATTCTCTGCTGAAGCCCAAGAGCTTAAAGTTTAATTCAAACCTCTCTTCACAATTATTATAATTATAATAATTATAATCTTGGTTTATGTTTGGTCACATGTTTTGGGGATATTTAGTTTTATTCTCTTTTAAATGCAATTTTATTGACACACATTAGATAAAGCTCACCACATTTCTCCAGGACATAATAGTCAGTGATGGAAGAAATTCTCAGATCTTTGTGCAAAACTTTTAACATCAAAAAATATCAAAAGGCTACCAAAGGCTGCCATGTGTTAAGTGACCTGGCTTGACTTATATCTGACCCAAATTAAAACATGCTACATCTAAAAGTAGCCCCACCCCATGAAACCCAGCTGCACTAATGTAAAGTCCTCAGACGAGCGTACAGGATGCTACTTACAGCAGGCTCTAGCTGCAAGACCAGCCATTAACTGGTGATCAACAGTTCTGGTAATATGCACATACATATAGAGAGATGAATCACTTTGTAACAACTAATATACAAACCAAGGCAGTTACAAGCCAATATTGAAAAGGAAAAATGTGTTGAAGAGTAAGGTGCTTAAGTGGTTGCCTAATTAGAGGTAATAAGTAGTGTATTGGGTATGAAGCTGCTCCAGTCTGCCACTTACTGAGATGACTTTGTGCTCCCAACATTACCCGTTGGGAATTTAAGTTTCATCTTTTCTTATGTGTATATTAGACCTAATTTTAGATAACGGCCCATCAACTTTATGCCTAACTTATAGTGGATACAGAATGCCTTTATAGGCAGATTACACTTTATTAAAGCTGCTGCTCATCCGCACAAGTAAGCTACAGCATTTCACCAGACGGAGCTGCTTGAGCCACAATATCACGCTGACAGAAACAGGCGTGTTTTTGAACTGAAAACCTTGTTGGATTTAGTTTGTTTCTTCTCAGCTGTGTGCATTCCCCCCCCCCCCCCCCCCCAAGACATTTGATGCTTACTTTGGATGGTTCAAATTCTGACACCACTGTAGACAACAAATCATAGACGACTGATCAACTTAAAAACGTTCCCTTTTTTAGGGAGGAAGTATCTTTTTAAAGTTATTTTCTCTCAAAATAGATAATTGGTTCAAACTTCACGAATGGATCCCTTTTAGTCTTTGTTGATTCACACAAGTCAAACCAGATTTGAAGCAGAAAACAACGGTCAACATTTACTGTAACAACAAGCGTGACAATTCTTGTATATTAAAGCTGCAGAAGAGTCCATTAATCAGTGATTTAAAGTGATCAACTTCATACCAAGTACTGTACATAAGCACAGTTTTGAGGTACTTTGATGTTCATGAGATTTCTAATTTCTGTGACTTGACAGTTCTACAACATTTTAATGTTAGTTATTCACAAGGGAAGAACACCAACAGCCGCTTTTTTTACTGCATAGTTCATACTTTTACTTTTAATTTCAAGAAGGATCGATTTGCTGAGAAGTTGTTTTATATTGTTATTGCTGCTGAATACTTCTTCCACCACTGGCATTTATTACCTTTGAGTGTATTTTTAATCAAATATTTTGTGGTTGTTAGTGAGCAATTAAAGCAAGATATATTAAATATTTGTTGACAGATATCAATGGAATTTGGTGGAAGTATTTGTATTTAGATCTGAGACCAAGTGGATCCAGGATTAATATAATATAGGGCATTCTTGATTTATTTTTTTCTATTAATTATTATACTTAACTAACTCAAACAAAAAGTCATGTTCACATGATGTTGCAACTTTTCCAAACATTTTCTGTTAAGATGTTAAGATGTTATGATATTAAAATGTCGGAGGTTATGCAACCTTGTCAGAATATGACCTCTGAGTGCTTAATAAGATAATTGTAGAGCAGATTAGTTACTTTCACAATGGCAACTATTTAATCAAAATCAGAATCAGAAACTGTTTATTGCCAAACGTTACACAAGGAATTTGGTTCGGGGATTTGGTGCGTAATGCACAAATATGTTTGGACAAAGGCTGATTTATAATGACAGCGACTAGATTTCAATCATCTTCCACTCTCTCCAGTGTTATCTCCCAACAATAAACCTAAACAGCCACAGACTTCTTTTCTAAATTGCATTTGACATCAAATATGTATGGATGTAATTCTCAGGGACAGAATCTTATCAGTCTGTGGACTGTGGTGCTTCATGCACATCTGTCTGAAGGTCACTGAAAAAAAAAGATGGGTAAATCTTGTTTCATAGATGTCACAATTTCCAATCAGAATCCATGGTGACCATGCAAACAATCTGTTCTATTTTAGCTGCTCTCATTTGATTTACAAATTTGCCGATTGCATGCTGCCCTTGTGGTAAACTGGCTTTCTTCTCACCACCTGGATCCCCAGTGGTAGAGTGACTTTCCCGCCACACTTTGAACAGCAAAGTCAATCCTCATCATCCACGCATGAATAGAATATTGTCTGTCCAAAAACCACTTTGTTTCCCTCAATTCCCTCAGTCACATCTTGGTCTGCTAAATCTTCTTCATCTGCCTGTCCTGTACCTGAGTTTGTCCTTGTCTCTTTAAAATTTGAGCAAAAACATCCAAAGAATAGAAATGAGTGCAAAAGAAACAGTTGCAATTTGAAGGCTGTTTTGGGAAAGGTTTTTCAAGATTGAATTTGCCAAACTGATATTACAGTAACACTTTACTAGCAGCTCCGTCTGCCCAATATTCCTTAGTCTTTGGTAACATAAACGGACTTGTTTTTCTTTAGTGTTTGGATAAAGCTCCTTTGAATTTAGCTATGTAATCCTCCTTCCATAAAATACATAGATGTACTTTGATTCACATGCATTGTCAGACATTTTTGTTTTGTTTTGCCCGCACAGGAAAAAAGCTGTAAAGTTACAGTGATCCTGATGTGAAGAGTATTGTTAATATAAGTGACAATTATATAGCCTATAAGCACTGCTTATTATTGTGATGTCATAAAAACATCAACAGGATTTGAAACTAACACATAACAACATCCTGTAATAGTTTAGGTTATTAATAATGTATAATCGTTTTTAATTGTATTATAGATCATAAATACCGCATGTACATGTTATATCTCAGCCACTAAAGCAAAACATATTATTTTCACTGTTATTCCATTAAACGTGTTTGTATTTACATTATTTTGGCAGTCCTATTTCACTAAGTGCGCTGACAAAATAGGGTAGGAATACAACGCATAGATAGACTATTCATTCTTCTTCTTAGCTTTTAAACAATTTGTGTCCTTTCATCCATTGAATAAAACTAGTGACCCTAATGTGAGGCGTATTATTAAATCATCTAACCATTCTTGCCTATGCTTTTTGATCTTCATACAGTTTAAATCTAATGCTGCGTTCGTCTGATGGTCGATATACATACCAATGGCTTTGTAATATCGCTCCACGGTAAAGTATAGCTCATTAAAGCATATGTTGATGGTGCTCATACAAATTTAAGACTGTCATTCTCTTCTGGGCAGAACTGCAAGCTCCTCCTGAGAGACCTATTTCACATTCTTACTGATGACACCAGCAACATTTCTAACAGCTTAATGGCAGTGTGCTCAGCCAACACGCCTTTCAAAAGAGTACTTAACACAAGCAGCGCATGTCATAGAAAACCTTTTGTTTCTGTTGCCTGCTGCTCAAATTATAAATCTGACACTTTTTACATTTTGGTTTAATCTGATGGCTCTAATGTGTCAGGGCATTCTCTCTATAACTTTTTTTTAAGGCTTTCTGTCACAATTGCAGTAACAATACCGAAAGAGCTGTAATTGTAGGCTCATGTATACAGTCTATAAATACCATTTCTGTTTGCTTATTTCCAAGTAACTCTACACTTCCTGTGTGAATCTATCATTAAATTCGGACACGTTTTGGCTTGCATGGTATGTTGGTATGCAAGCCTGAGATTTTGTGAAAAAGAAAACAAACAGATTTTCAGGTCTCTCTGTCAATCCACATGTTGGTTCTGATTGTAGCTGCAGTGACACACAGCACACAAAAAAAGCAAAGGGAAGGGGGAGACAAGGAGAAAATCTCCCATCCCCTCCTTCTTGTGAAAGGAGAGAGCAGTAAGGAAAGAAGGCAGGAGGAATGAAGAAGAGGGGGAGGGTAAACACAGCCAGA